CGCTCTTCCACTTCCAAGGGCCTGTCATTACTCCGCTTGCCAAGTTCCAGCTGGGGCCTGCAGATCCTCCATAATTACAACTTACCTCCAAGCTACACAGATCAGTTTCCCTGGAAGAAGTCGCTGTGTTGGCATTATATTCCACTGAAGCCCACCCCCTCCAGACTTCACTCCCAAATGTCTAGGAATCTCCCAAGTGTAGTCGGCAACCCAAGCCCTGGAGTAAGGTTGCCAACCTCCAGGTTGAGATCTCCTGGGATTACACCTGACCTGCAGGTGACAGAGATCAGTTCACCTGAAGAACATGGCAGCTTTGGAAGGTGGACTGTAGGGCATTATACCTCGTTGGTCCTTCCCCTCCCCAAATCCCACCCCCCAAAATCTCCGGGTATTTCCCAACCCAGAAATGACAAGCAACCCTCCCCCGGAGAATGAACTGTACAGCATTCTACCCACCTGAGACCCCCTCCCCTCACCAACCCCACCCTGAAATCCCCGGGAATCTCCCACACCAGAGTTGATAACTTCAAGCCCGCGATTCCACTCCCGAGGGGCGTCACCGCACTCCCAACTACCCCAAACCAATTTGTCCCTTTTGTCCTTGCGAACTCGCAAGCAAAGCGAGCCGAGGGATGCCCACTCCCGACGGGGCCTGGAGAATAGCCGCCGGCTCGACAGGAGCCACGCATTGAAATGTGCCCTGCCCGTAAGAGCGCGGGACTGGCCAAAGGACACCCGCGGGCGCTCCAACTGTGCGCCCAGGGACTCGCTGCTTTTCACCGCCGCGGCACCGACCAGTTCAGCCAGCGGAAGAGCCTCTCCCTGCGGCGGGGCGCCTTACAGTAGCTCTGTCGCTTGCTCGACGGCGCATGGCAACCCGACACCAGCTGCATCGGACAGGCGGCAAAAAACTCTCTTGCTCCGCGTCGGCAAAGAGGGGCACGCCAGAGACAACGTGGCGCCGGCAAACCCACCTGCGCTTGAGATTCGGTGTGGCAGCCGGACCCAGGAAGCCAGCAGGGCAAAGGCAGAGCTCGACGTCCAGCTCCGCCTCCTCTTCCCAAGCCCAGCAAACGCAGAGGAGCAGGAAGCGGTGACGGCGGCCGCTCCCCTCCAACACCGCTTCCCCCTAGGCCGCCCCTTCCCGAGACCGGCCTGCGCCTAGCGGCGGGGAGGTGGCTCGAAGTAGCCAGCCGGGTGGGGGCGGCATTCAAGCCCGCCGCCGCCGGGGGCTCGTGTTGCGGTTGGCTGGAGGAACTGCCGGGCCACAACTGCGATTGGTCTCTGTCTGGGAAGCCCCGGATTTATTCTCACGGTTGCGCCGGCAGGAACATTGTAAATATATTGTCCTCCCACACTTGTAGGCAAGCAAGCGCCTCTGAGCTCGCCAAGGCTTCGCTTCGAAGTATGCATGCTCAGGATTTGACGACTACGTGGTGGGGAAATCCAACCAGCATGGGGCCAAAAGTGACGAAAGAAGCCCCGTGCGGAAAAACCCATTCACCTCTCCGTATTATACTCAACCCTGTTAGGTTAAGGGTGTGGCTGGCAATGGCAGAGTTTGGGTTCGAACCAACTGATTCGTGTCTGTGGGGAGACCCAGTGGTACTACGGGAACTATGATTTTTGTGCAGGCAAGGATTAATAAAGAGTTAAAATGAGGGCTGGAACGGATTAAAACTATAGTGGGAGTGTGTGTGTGCCCGAGACGCTTCCAGTTTATGGCGACCCTATGAATTAATAACCTCCAAGATCGTTAACAGCCTTGCAAACAGGGCTGCAGCTTCCCTTATTGATTCATCCATCTCATGTTGGGTAGGGCACTAATTTTCCCCTTTGCCATTTTGCTTCCCTCCACCTACTTCACATAGCAGAATCCAGCATACTTGGGAACAGAATTTTTAATTGGGGGGGGGGGGATCTGAACCCAGGTCATCCCAGTTCTACCCTACAATGGCTCTTTGATTCCCCCCCCCCCACAATGGGGTCTCCTCTCAGACATTCACCAAGCCCCTAACCTGGTTAGTTTCTGGCACTCTTTGTGCTAGTTTCAAAAATGTGTTGATGCAAAATTCCACTAGATCAACACAGCACATATGCCTGTGTAGCTCTTTCATGGACAGTAGACCTTTATTTCCAACATGTTTTAAGATGCTTTTTTCCAAGCAGTGCAAATGTACTATATTACATTTAACAGCTGCATCTGAGCAAGACTGCTGCAAGCAGTCAGCTGGATTTGTGCACTGGAAAGCCCTTCAACAACTGAACCCTGCTAGAAATCAATACAATGCTTAGATCTGAAAGTTCATCATCCCCCCCCCCCAAATCCCTATCAGCCTGTATCCAACAACACAGCAATCTGAGTAGCCTAGCCTTGTCCGAGTCTAGAAGCTGAGCAAGGTTGGCCATGGTTAATATTTAGATGGGAGACCAGCACGAAGACCATGGCTGCTAGGCAGAGTGAAGGCAAGTGTTAAAACACTTCTGCTCACACCTTGCCTTGGAAAACCCTATCAGAGGTTGCCATCATTCAGTTCCAACTTGATGGCACTTAATACCCAGCAGTGCAGTTCATCCAGGGCATTTCCATTCCCAGAAAAGGGGGGAGCAGCTTACACCTCCCAATGAATACCTCTGCTTTGCTAGGACTGCTGTTCCTAAGCCTCCCTCCCCGCAAAAAGGTATGCTGCTTGGGGTCCCCCTTGAGGAGACGAGGGGTATATTTAAATGAATAAAATTACCTTTTGGTCTTATGTCTCAGAGTTAATCCATTTGCTGCAGCCTTCTATCTTTGCTGTGCTGTGCACTCATCCCTGCCCCAACCTGGATGGGCCAGGGTAGCTCATCCCTGTCAGATCTTGGAGGCTAAAGCAGGGTCAGCCCTGGTTAGTACTTGGATGGGAGACCACCAAGGAAATCCAGGGCAGGCAATGGCAAGCCACCTCTGAACGTCTCTTGCCTTGAAAACCCTACAGGACCACCATAAATGTGACTTGATGGCACTTTCCACCACCATACTTATTCCCCACCCCAAAGAATTTGTCTTTAAAAGACATCGGCCTTCCAGAAAACACACTGCTCTATCAAAACTCAATTTATTCCAAACATTAAGAGTTGTACAGATTTGCTTCTCTTCCACAAATTCTGCCAAAATATTCTCAGATTTCCTTTGCCTCTAACCCCACCCCCCATATCCCAGGAATATTGCTGAAACTCAGTATTTAAAAAACACAGCCCTTTGAGGTACTGCTGCTCGTCCTTTAGATCTTTTGAATGTGCCTACCAGAAGAGGAATGCTAGAGAAAATGGGAAGGCTGACTAGTTTCTCTGCCCTAGTCCAGTTGCTGCACACAAATTGTACAGAAATGGCACCAGGCCGTGAGTCCTCACCTTCTTTCCTTCCTAAAGGCAGCACAGGGCCAAATCAGAGCCAAGATCAGTCTTAAAATGTGCAGTCCCAACCGAAAAGGCAAACAACCAGAAGCAAGGCCGCTCTGTCCAGCTCTGATCCACACCCAATCTAAGGAAGCCAGTCGATGCTTTAAAAACATACCAGCTGCTCACCGAAAACACCAGGCAGGTGGTGGAAGCAGATGGCTAGAGATGAGGTTTTAATATTCTGATCAAAATATAACCACCTTTGTCTCATTTGTTTAAAAGGGAGCAAACAGGAGTCGAGGAGAGCCCAGTGTATCCTGACATCAGAAAATGGGGAAAAGTGAGAGCGCCCAAGCACGTGTCAATTCCACAGTCCAGTAATCCATACAGTACTTAGACGACAGCACCATAGAAGGCATCGAGTCTGAGTATTCTGGCTGCAGTTTTGAAAGCGCCATCCAGAAAACATATGCAAAGGCCTTTGGCCCTCCCATCCCTTTAAAAACCCTGAAGCAGGGACAGCTCCCGCCTCCCACCCCACCCCCCAAAAAGCCACCCCAGAGGAATGGTCCATGGGCAGAGCTTTCAAAACAATGGAAGAACTGTTCTTTGCAAGCAACTCCCCACACACAAGCTGTTGAAGCCCAACTCTCGCCAACCAGATGGAGGAACATGAGACCGGTTCACGCCCCAGTTGCCCCTTCTCAAGCAATGTTTGAGAGGCAACAAAGGCTTATTTTCCCCCTCTTCAGGCCTTTCTTCTTCTCCAAATGCAGCGTGTTCTCCTGTCTCCCTTTGACACCAACATCCTGGTTTGTCCTAGGTGACCTGCCACACCCTCCTCTCTTTTTACTGTAGCTCAGGATGATGGTAATTTCCACCTACTCTGCCATCTGTACCAAAGAAGAAACAGAGGGAGGTGCAAGAAAGGGGAGCGTGGCAGGTCACCCAGGGCAAACGAGGGTATCAAGCATCAAAGAGCGACATGAGAACTTCCTGAGTTTTGAGAAGCAGAAAGACCTGAAGGAAAAAAATGAGTCTAGCAGACACAGGCAGGCAGAGACAGATTTGATAGCAAGATCTTGAAATTTCAGCCAACCTTCTAGATTTGACAGAAGCAGCAGGGAAAAGAACCCCCAAGGAGGTGAAGGGGACTAGGAAAAACAAGACTCGTTCCAGCCACCAAGGGAACCTGATTTTTTAGATTTAAACAAATTCCAACCTCTGAGAGAACATTTTATATCATATCATTCTTCTCTCCAGGGAAAAAATATCAGAAGGTATGACAGGATGCCATCAAAAGCTAGTCTTCTGAGCCCAAAAGATGCGGGAAGGTGGTACGTTCCCCCCCCCCCTGAGTTCTTGCTGGAAGGGTCACCCGTGTCAGTTTGTCAACTCTGCTGGTCCTTTACTAGCAACACTGTGTGCTGACCGCCACCCGTCACAGTGAGGACGGTGCGGTTCTCCAGCTGCTGGCCCGACATCTGGACGGGGCTCCAGGCATCGTCTTCGTCTCCCGTGGCCAACTGGAGATTCGAACCCATGCCCCAGGCAAAAGCTCGCCCTGCAAAGAGAGAGGTGGGTGTGGATCAGCGCTGACAGTTAAAAAAATCTCCATGATACATCCCAATGGCTGGCTTCGAAATTTTTAAGTATTTTTCAGTGCTTTGTCCACAGTATATGTTTTACTGTTGCAGTCTACCTAATTGTCCAGGAGGACCTTTTGGTAAAAGGAACAGAGTCATGGGCAAATGGATCTGTGAAAGTTTAGATGGTTTTCATGGTTTATTCATTGGGCTCCCAAGATGCACCCTGAGAGGGGCCAAAACTGCTCTTCTAAAATCCCATCAGCACTGGACAGAAACCCCAGCTGCATTGCTGGGAACAACACACTGGACTGGGGGTGGAGCCAGAACTGGGCGGGGTTATATGAGCTGACACAACCCTACCCATTTCCCTGATGGAATGTCCAGTTCATGACTGAAGACTACCATGAGCTTTAGGCCTCCTCCAGTGCTTGATTTCAGCCACTGACACAACTGTGAGGCTGAGAAGTTTAAAATGCCACTCAGCTTCATGTTTTCAGTTTAGAAAAGAGACTACTAAGGTGGGGGGGGGCATGATAGAGGTTTATAAAATTATGCACAGGGTGGAGAGAGTTGAGGAAGAGAACTTTTATTCCCTCTCCCACAAGACTGGAACTCAAGGGCATCCAATGAAGTTGATGGGCTGCAGATTCAGGACAAACAAAAGGAAATACTTCTTTATGCAATGAGTGATTAAAATGTAGAATTTGTTGCCAGAGAATGCAGTGATGGCCACACACAAGTGTAGACAGCTTTAGCAGGGCATTAGACAGATTCATGGAGGATAGGTCTATCAGTGGTTACTAGCCATGGTGACTAACTCCACATTCGGAAGCAATAAACCTCTGAATACCAGTGCTAAGAGGCAACATCAGGGGCTCGGCCTCTAGAGTGATTGGCTGGCCACTGTGTGAGACAGATGCTGGACTAGATGGACCACTAATCTGATCCTGCAGGGCTTGGGAGACCCAGCTTCAGACCCCCTCCCTCCTGAGCCAGGACCCTGTTGTCTGGGTCACCTGTGGCCGTTTGCTCAGCCTGGCCCACCTCGCGGGGGGGGGGGGGGGGGGGGAGTCTGACCCTGTCCTGAAGACACCCTGCACCTTTTTAAAAAAGTCCATCTAGAAGACAGCAACAGTGGGTAGACGCACAGGCTGTGTTTTAAAAACACATAAAGAGGGTGCCAGGATGAGGCCAATGATGAAAAGAGCCTTGTTAGTGCCCCCAAATGCAAGTATTTATTTCTTTAAGGCACCCCCACTATTGAGGAAGTACACCTCTGTTTTGCCCTGACCTGGATGGCCCAAACTAGCCTGATCTTGTCAGATCTCGAAAGCTAAGCAGGGTTGGCTCCGGTCAGTACTTGGATGGGAGACCACCAAAGAAGCCCAGAGCTTACGTGCAGAGGCAGGCCATGGCAAGCCACCTCTGAACATCTCTTGCCCAGAAAACCCTACAGGGTCATCATAGGTTGGCCGTGACTTGACAACGCTTTCTACAATCACCACCGTTCTGTTTGAGTCTCATAAGAAATGTCAGGTCTGAAGATCTTCTGAGTATTGCTAGACCCAAAGATAACCCTAAGTTGGCAAACGATAGGAGACAAAACCCTTTCAGAAAATCCCACCCCTTTGGGTTTGTCGGGGATGTGCCCAACCACGCATCCTGTCTCTGACAGCAGAGATGATACAGCAGACTCTTAATAGGCTATTAATTTCCTATCAAGATGCAGAAGAGCTCCTTATGGAAGGTAAGTCAATCAATGGCAATTCAGCCATGACAGCTGGATGGAACTTCAATGTTTGGAGCAGTACTGCTCCTAAGAACGGTACTGGGCGGGGTGGGAGGCTTTGCCTAGTCAGTCAGGCTATGTGCATCTGGTTCGACTGAGACTGTGACACACCTCCTGCTTTTTTGTTCTCAATGGTCAGCTCTTAGGTCCTGTTGGATTCATCCCATTCTGTCTAAACATCATCTTCCATCAGAGTCATGGGTGGTTTCTTTTTTATTGGGAGACATTGTTTCTGAAATAACTATTTCAGTTGCAAAGTATCTCGCAATTATAATTTCCTTGAAAAATAAATAATCTTGTTATAATGGAGGTTTCATTTTGTTGCTAAACTTTAGATTTAAGGTTTTACTATTTACTTGTATTTCTTTAAAGTTTATCCTAACTTTTACCATCTATTTCATAGTGATAGTTTTGTATTAATTTTAGAAATTTCAATGTATGTCATACCTGTTGGATTTGTACTCGTAATTTGTCTAATTATGCTTGAGACCTCCAGTCATATAAGCTGAATAAATTGACTGACTGATGGGAGGCTTTGACCTCTGTGCCCTGCTTCTGGACCTTTTGAGGATATTTGACTAGCCACTGGGTAAGACAGGACGCTGGGCTGATCCTGGACAGCTGCTCTCACATTCACACTATGTACATCTGGAGGTTTAAAAGCTGCTTATTACAAAACTTATATCCCACTTACTTTCAGAATAGACATTCAAAGCATGTTACAAGGCAAAGCCCAACTCTGCCAGAGTACAGGACATCGTCTCACAGTGTCCTGAATATCGGACCTAACCATTTCTGGCATTTTTACCTTCCAAATATTTGCCTGGCCTTCCTTTCTCGAATAATCATGGGGACTAGAAATTTAGGTCTCTCATTTTAAAAATGCAGCTATATTCCTGGGGGCAACCTGATTCCCCAGAAGCGTTTCACGCGGCCTGCAGACAAAGCGCCCTGAGGCCTAGGCCTCTTTCAGACTCACCATCTTCAGTAACTGCATAGCCAACCCGTTCTCCGCAAGCGATGGAGGATGCCTTTGCCAGCCCAGGGATGGCAGTGGGCATGCTCTTCTCTTCAACGCCCTCTCCCAGGCCCAACATGCCGTAGTCCGCTCTGCCAAGACTATACACTGTGCCTGTTTGAAATTGAGAGGTGGAATAAGAAAGATAGGGATATGTTTACTCAGAAGAAAAAAGAGTGGGGGACACTAAGTGAGTCTATGAATTTGGAAACATGTTTGAATGAAAGACATCCTACATTTAGAAAGCAAGCATGTTATCTTTTTCCCCCAATCATTTTTTTAAATTTATTTTTGTTCTTTTATATGTTACAATACATACAATACATAACGCAACACACAAAAACCAGGGAGTATAAACTACAGAAAGATGTGAGTTATATAACCAGCATCGAACCGTTAGCAGAAAAGCTCAGGACCATCCCCTCTCTCACGGGCATCTCCATTAACGGACAGGAACACAAAATCAGTCTATATGCGGATGATCTCACACTATATATCTCAGATCCGATACAATCCATCCCGACTGTAACCCGCATGTTGTCTCGTTTTTCGGCAGTGTCTGGATCAGTGTTCCCTCTAAGCTGAGTTAGTGTGAGCTAGCTCACAATTTTTTAGCCCCCAGCTCACAGATTTTTGTCTTAGCTCAGGAAGGATTGCTCCAGAGTAAACTAGTTTATGCAGTAGCCAAATCACCTGCTCACAACTTTAATGCCAGTAGCTCACAAAGTAGGATTTTTGCTCACAAGACTCCTCACCTTAGAGGGAGCATTGGTCTGGATTACAGATCAATCACACAAAATCAGAAATCTACCCAATCAAGATTGATCATCAAGATGAAGTAAACATTAAGAAATCTTTCGAATTTAAATGGATTACAGACTATTGGAGACATCTGGGGGTGTATATACCCCTTAACTAAAGGATCTTCCCCCCCCAATCATGTGAGTCTTCTAAATGCATGACCTGCCTGGGGAGATCAGGAAGGATCCCACATTTTTGTTATTCCATAACATGTGTACAATGGCTTAGGAGGGCTTTAAAATAAAGTAACAGGGTTATACTTTTTAATGTCTGTGGCAAATTTTGGGCAGCCCCCTCCCTAACCCTCTACATCTTGGACAGCAGGGGGGGGGGAAGAAATAGAGTCATAGAAGAACATAAAATGGCAAATCAACTAGATGTCCCTGGGTAAACAGGAAGTTCAGACAAACAAGTAGTCACGTGATACCAGACGCTTTGCAGAATTACATCGCTTCGTAGAGTCATGTGACTCTACTTAGAAGCTTAGTAGAATCAGCATCAGGCAGATGCCTGAGTGCGCATCTCCATATTTGAGGTGCCAAATAAAAGGAAGGCAAACAGTCAATCCTCTAGTATCAGAGATACCTCTGGTTATTCCTCCCCACACAGTGGAATGCCACTCTGGGCTGCTCACCTTCCGAATCTAGGCACACAGTATGGTGTTGCCCAGCGGAGAATTCCACCCAGGATCTGGTAGAGTTCTTGAACGCCGTCAGGATCTTTGGGGAATAGTAAGTGTCGATGCTTTGTGAACCTGGAGGAGCAGCCAAGGAAACCCAAGTTAAAGCCAGAGACAAATCAGAGTGGTCAAATTGATTTACCCACAATTCAATGCAGCTAAACTCTGGTGAAGCAGCAAATAACACCCCTCCACCCTATGCATATGGGAGCAACATATGTAGGAGACTATAGCCTAGCCTAGTATGCAAACCATGAAAGTTACGGCAAACAGGAGCAACACATGCATACAGAAGCAGGAGGCTACAGCACAGCACAGCACACAAAGCATGAAAGTTATGGCAAACAAGATCAGACAGACGCAGCTGTCGTTCTGCTCTCTCAAGCATGATCCATCTTGCAGGAATTGCACCCCCATTCTCCTCCGACAGAGACAAGGAAGAAATAATGCTTCCTTATTTTTCCCTGCCCCTCCTGATGATGCAGGAGCTATAAGATCCTTGGCAACTAGTTCTTCTTGCAGCACCTGGTGGCTTATGCACCCCCCTCCTTGGCACACAGACAGCGACTTACCCAGTTGGTAGTAATTGGAGAGGCCAAACCCAATGACGTGGCCCTCCTGGGTGAGGGCTATGGTGGAATAGGAGCCACAGAAGACATCACGGATGTGCCCTTTGGTCTTACCGCCTCTCTGCTTGAAGGGAATGGGTTGGGGGAGCAGCAGCCGTTCTAGAGGTAAGAGAGAGGGCTTATGGGAACCAGGACTGAATACATGAGGCTGTTTATCCGATTTATCCGATTTATATCCCGCTCTCCCCCACTTTTGTAGGGCTCAGAGCAGGTCACAACATATAATGAACAGATTATAGTAAACTTAAAAAATATCAGTTTAAAACAATTTCTAGTTATTTGCAATTCATCAGACGGCACCTAATAATACTATAACACACCTGGGGAAGAGAAGGGGAAGGAAGAGGTAGGAGAATCTGTATGGTGGAAATTTTCCTGACCTTACCCATAGGCTTGGCAGTACATTTCTGTTTTACAGGCCCTGCGGAATTGAACCAAGTCTCACAGGGCCCAGATCTCATTTGGAAGCACATTCCACCAAGCTGGAGCCACCGCTGAAAAGGCTCTGGCTCTCATTGAAACCGGGCAAATGTTCCTTGGTCCCGGGACCATCAATGTGTTGTTGTTCAAAGAGCATCTTTGGGGGGTATGCCAGGAGAGGTGGTCACAAAGATATGTCGGTCCCAGACCGTGAAGGGCTTTAAAGGTTAAAACCAACACCATGAACTTGATCTGGTATTCAATCTGGAGCCAGTTTAGTTGGCGGAGCACCAGTTGGATATGTGTTTTTATAGGGGTTCCTGCTGTAAGGAGCCATGCCGCTGCATTCTGGACCAGTTGAAGTTTCCAGGTCAGCCTCAAGAGTAGCCCTACATACAGTGAGTTACAGTAATCTAGCGTGGAGGTAACCACTGCATTACTGAATCAGAACACTGGCCATCAAAGCCAGTACTGTCTACTCAGACTGGCAGCAGCTCACATCACCTACTGCTTGTTTCTTTCAACTGGAGATCCCTGGGATTAAACCTGGGAGCTTCTGCATGCCAAGAAGAGCTCTACCACTGAGCGACAGCACTTCTGCTGACATAACTGAGTGCCTGAAGCTGCCTTATCCTCAGCCAGATCCTTGGTTTATCGAGGCCAGTACTGTCTATCCAGATTGGCAGCTGCTCTCCAGGGTTTCAAAGAGAGATCTTTCCTACTCCCTGATCCTTTTTTAATTGGAGATGCTGGGGATTGAACCTGGGATCTTCTGCAGCCAAAGCACGAGCTCTGCCACCAAGTTCTCTTATACTAATTTAGGTCCTGCCCTGCCTTGGATGGCCCAGGCCAGCCCAATCTCAGCAGATCTTGAAAACTAAGCAGGGTTGGCCCTGGTTGGGACTTGGATGGGAGACCGCCAAGGAATACCAGGGGCAAGACACAGAGGCAGGGAATGGCAAACCACCTCTGAATGTCTCTTGCCTTGAAAACTACCCAAGTCAGGTCCTTGGTCTATCTAGCTCAGCAAGGTCTGTGTTGGCAGCAGCCCTCCAGGAAGAGAGGGGTCTTTTGCAAAGATCTTGACAGGAATTGAACCCGAGACCTTCCGCATGCAAAGCGTGTGCTCTGCCATGGCCCCTCCCTAAGTGAAACTGCCTTATACGGAACCAGAACATTGATCTATTTGGCCAATATTGTCTGTTCTGTAGCTCTCCAGAGTGTCATGTAGAAGTCTTTCATTACCGACACTCAGATCCTTTTCAGGGGAGATTGAACCCAGGACTTTCTGCATGCAAAGCAGCTGCTCTGCTACTAAGCCTCTCCTCCTTAGAAATTCCTATATTTAAGGGGACATTAGCCAACTCCCCACCCCAAGCTGTTCACATACAGGGTTTTCTCCACAGACTTCCTCAAAGCAACAAAATTCATCTAATCAACTCACCCAATCCTCGTCTTCCTCCTCGGGCAGTGAAGATTTGGGGCACTCGACCCAACTGGCCATTGTCTCCACAACCACAGGTATAAAGGTTCCCCTCTGTGGACACTAATGCCAAGTGATGGCTCCCTGGGAAAACGAAGGCAAAGTAAGTGAAGATCTAGAGAAGTCCTATCTGCAACTCAGGGAGTGAGCTGCAATACTGCAACAAAACTCCTACAGTACTGTAACCCATGACATTCAAAGGCAAAGTCAATTGCAAGTAATTTTTGTGTAAAGAATTTAGGGTTTACAAGTATGATTCTGGCTGGCTGAACAGGAGGAAGGAGAAACTGAAGAGCCACATATGAAAATTCAACCTCCATAGTGTTGCCAATAATGGGAACACGGGGCTCTCACAGAAGAAGACTATGAGTGAAAGTCTTATTCACTGGGGGGTGGAGGAAGCTACTGTGAAAAAGAATTCCAAGTACCGTATTTTCCTGCGTATAAGACTACTTTTTAACCCAGGGAAATCTTCTCAGAAGTGGGGGGTCGTCTTATACGCCGGTACGCCAGAAGCATCAGCATAGCTCTATATTTTAACTGGAAAACTCTATATTTTAACTGGAAAAGTTGGGGGTCGTCTTATACGCCCAGTCGTCTTATACGCCGGAAAATACGGTAAGTACATTTTTAGGGCTCCTTCTGTCTTCTGGAGGTGTTCAGTGAAAATAAGTTATGCTTATCAGCATAACAAGTTTGCGACAAGCTGGCAAACTAGAAGAGTAATTTTTGAACCAATTTTGAGTTCTTTCTGCTAAGATTTCAGGGGGGGTCTTAACAGAGGGGGGTGAGGTTTTCCCCATTTTTCTGTTCACAATTCTTTGCAACACAGTACAATTGCAACGTTTATTGAATGTTTTGAGTACATTTTTCACAAATGTTGTAAACCACCCTCGGTGAGAAAGGTGGACAAGAAATGAAGTAAATATTACTCAGGGAGGGCACATGAGAAATGGTGGCAAGGACATGGGAGAATGGAAAAATCTCTTCCTCCCACTACCTAAATAGTTGTGTTTATGAAACATAGAGCTGGGAGGGACTCCGACGGGTCATCTAGTCCAGCCCCCTGCACAATGCAGGAAGTTCACAGCTACTTCCCCCCCTACTCTCTCAGAGAACCCTACTGTATGCCCAGAGGAAGGCCAAAAACCTCCAGGATCCAATCTGGTCTGGAGGAAAATTCCTTCCTGACCCCAAAATGGCAATCGGCATTACCTTGGGCATGTAAGAAAGGGCCCCAAGAGCCAAGCGCTGGCGCATTTCTTCCTGCCCTCCCTCTCACAATCTACCTAAACTCACAGAATCAGCATCGCTGTCAGATGGCCATCTAGCCTCTGCTTAAAAACCTCCAAAGAAGGAGAGCCCAGCACCTCCCGAGGAAGCCTGTTCCACTGAGGAACCACTCTGTTAGGAAGTTCTTCCTAATGTTTAACCGAAAACTTTTTTGCTGTAATTTTAATTAATTGGTTCTGGTTCGCTCTTCTGGGGCAACAGAAAACAACTCTGCTCCATCCTCCATATGGCAGCCCTTCAACTAAAACACCTTGACAGATTCTTCTGAAAGGCAGGTCACCAAATTTATATAAATACCTTCTTGGGGCAAGTCAACCTAAGATCCTCGCCTACAAGGAACCTGAGGCTGTTCCAGGACGGCCTGATTTGATGTGTCCTGCATCCACACCAGGCAAGGCCCAAACTGGGACCTGCTCTGTCAAAATACATGCAAGTGGAGGCCCCACCCCACTTTCCAGTTGCCACTTGCTTATTTAATGTATTTCTATCCTGCCTTATCTCTTCTGACTCAAAGCAACTAATAAAGCAGACACAGCTGCAAAGACACCGAGGAAACACCATGCCAGTTACAAGATTAAAAATGATATAATGGAATGGTTCAGGAAAGTGTTTTGAGAAGAAGAAGAAGAGAAGAGATTGGATTTATACCCCAGCCTTCACTACCCAAAGGAGTCTCAGAGCGGCTTACGAACTCCTTTCCCTTCCCCTCCCCACAACAGACACCCTGTGAGGTAGGTGGGGCTGAGAGAGCTCTGACACAAACTGCTCTTTTTTCAAGAACAGCTCTTATCAGAACTACGGCTTGCCCAAGGTCATCCAGCCAGGTGCAAGTGGAGGAGTGGGGAATTAAACCCGGTTCTCCCAGATTAGGGTCCGCATACTTAACCTACTACACCAAAAGCATATAGGATTGTAGTAGTGACCTTAATAACTTGGACTAGCCCAACCTCGTCAGAGCTCAGAAGGTAAGGAGGGTCAGTACTTGGATGGGAGACCACCAAGGAAGGCAATGGAAAACCAACTCTGTTCATCTCTTGCCTTGAAAGCCCCATGAGGTGGAACTCATGAGGTCACCATGAGTTAGCAGCGACTTGAAAGAACGCTTACCGGACTGCAGTCTATCGCAGTGTTTTTGCTATGAATACTCTTGCTATTGTTGCCTTGTTTTTTACTTTTTAAACCTATGTTCTGCATCTTTCATAGTATGTCACGTCTTAAGAGTGCTCACAGTTCACCCTGACCTGGATGGCACAA